CGACTTAAGAAAATTTGGATTTATTTTAATGTAGGTAATTTAATATTAGATTTGTAGAATTTTAGAAATATATTGGCGTTTGTTTTTTCGTGAGTCAGGCTCATTTTCTCATCATGATAAAATGATAGAGTATAACCTCTCAACTTAAAACAAGTACAGCATCAATCTGGACTAAAAATATCAATATCGAAAACATCATGAATCCTCATCAGCATGCAGAACATCATAATCCATCGGAAGACGATCACTTTTGAAACAAATCTCTACATCAAAGGACTACTCGTTACTGTAACTATGAAAATTCATCCTTTCATCATCATCAGCCTATAAGTGCCCACTGCTGAGCAATGGGCTCTTCTCATACGGAGAAGGTTAGAGCATTAATCACCACGCTTGCTCAATACGGGTTGGCGATTTCGAACTTTTAACTAGAAATTATAGTATATATAAGTCCAGGTTTCCTCACGATATTACCGTTACCGCATGTCAGTGGCTTCTAAATAAGCATAGAAAGTACATATAACTCGGAAAAAGTCACATTGGTACTTGCCAGGTTTTCAACTCACACCCTCATGCATGACAAGCGGGCTCCTTAACCGCTAGGCCACCACGACGGTCAAAACTCATCCCACAGCACGACCAAAACTCCTCCAAACGAACACAACTCAAAATCACTTCCCAAACTTCAAATTGAATTTAATTTAAATTTTGCAGTTACATTACATGGGAATGAGTTGCAAAATGTCGCTGAAAACTCGTTCGAGAACGCGGCGCACGGAACTATGCAGCAGGGTGAACAATTGGTTCAATATTAGAAGTATTTAGCGAACATGTCGCAGGCGAGCGCTGGTGGAATGTGCGAACGTGTGTGGGTGTGCAAGGTAATCTAATGCGATGATTTAAGCTTGTACTATATTGGATAAGGTGTGTATAAAAAAAATGTTTACGAGCTGTCTGTAGGGGAAGTCCACTTGACTTCTGTAAACCTTTATTTAAAAAACTAAAATTACTAACGTTAACTGGCATAATGTATGTTCTGGAAGTATCAATATTTGTAAGAAAAAATAATTACTTTTTTAAATTTAAAGGGGATCATATTACTAAATACAGACCAAGAGATCTTTCGAAAATAATGGTTCCCTTTTGTAGAACTACTCTGAATAAAAAGAATATTTATCATATGTGCATATCGGTCTTTAATAAATTACTTACGAATCTAAGGGAACTACCATTGAAATATTTTAAAATAAACCTTAAGCAATGGCTGGTAGAAAAATGCTTTTATACAATAGAGGAATTTATGAAATGTAAGATTAATAATGAATGTGATTATTTGTGTGATAAATAATGTCTAATAATAATAAATGTTAAATTTGTTTGCTATATAAGAATATAATTGGAAATTGTATTAGTTTATAAAAATATTTGCATGCCTAACGCAGGCAGGATACAGCCTGGACTGTACACCACTATTATATCTGGTAACACCTATGTTCTATGTGAATAAATGTTTCTTTCTTTCTTTCTTTCTAAAAGAAAAGTTTAACTCCTATCTGCTAGAATAAGAAAGAATAAGAATAAGAATAAGAAATCTTTATTTGTATGAAACACGGGGTACATAGATGTAACATTTGTTATAAGTTCATGTTTCGCCGTAGCATCGGCATACAAATATAATAATATATAATATAAATGCTAAACGTAGATTTGAAATTATTGTGTCTAAGTTCTCTAAGAAGTGTGGGAGAGTAAAGCCTCGGCACGAATGATACCACGACAAATAGGTCCGGAGTGATACCACGGCCTCACAAAAAACCGGCGTGAAACAACCGCAGCGTTGTGTTTCGCCGTATGAGTGAGGACCCTAATCACCAAAAGGCCGGCAACGCACTCGTAACTCCTTTGGTGTTGCAGGTGTCCATGGGCCGATTGTTTACCATCAGGTAATAAGCCTGCTCGTTAGCTGACCTATATCATAAAAAAAACAGTTGGATTGTACGACCAAATACAACATTACGTAGTCACCTTTCAGTCCACAATTTCACTCTTATAATAAGTACCTAATAATTGCTATTACTAAGGAATTATCGAAAATCTGTAAAAAGAAAATCAATAAGATTATGCCCAACTTGGGAACCGACCCCAAAAATACTTTGGACGACCGTTCGCTCAACGATGCAAATCCCCAGCGAACAAGATTTTGTTAAATGAAATAAGAAGCTCGTCGCTACGGCGTAGCAGTTCGTAGCATTTCGTAGCAATAATTGCATTATTTAATTATACGTCACATTTAGCTAGCTTTTGCCCCCGGTGCTCACCTGCGTTTGACTTAGCAAATTGAGTTATTGTGTGCTCTTACGATGTTACGTTATTTAACTCTAGTGCTTCAAAAGGAATTATATTTTATTTTTATTATTGACAAGTAAATGTGTTTGGCGTGCCTATATTTTTCTAGGTGATTGGACAGTTAATGACAAGATGGTGGCCTGATGGTAAGCAATCGGTGTCGCTCATGAGCAAACGCAATATAGAAGTATTGTGTTGTCCGCCTTTTGAGATTTGAGGAAATGGAGGATTTGGTCATCTATTGGTTGAGTACCTGGTGGACCTCGCCCATTCATGTCCAAGCGTAGTTCTCCTTAATTAAGCTACAGACTACTACGAACTACACTACCCCTAACTAATTAAAAAAAAACATAATTTAACTATTTCATGTATTAAATTAAAAACGTCAATGTTTATGCTGTGTCGTACAATAAAAAAACACAGCTCTTCACTTTGTTACAACTAAATAAATCTAACGAAATTGTAAAAAAATGTAGCTGTCGAGAGCCAAAAAAACTGGATTTAAAAAACAATTTAAATACTATTGTAATATATGTACATGTATGTACATGTATGTACATGTATGCACTAGGGTTTCTAGGTACAAATCTACACGTGTATCTATTCAAGCGTGTCACATCCAACGCGGCAACGTGTCATCGGCACAATTACGTGTGCCGCTAACAAGCGGACCAGAATTGTTGTACGTTTGTTCCACTGCACTGCAATTAATGGAGAACAAAGGCACACAAATGCTGTACCTGTGTAGTATTCTGCCTAGCACATAAAGTCAGAATACACTTAAATATATTTGTACATTTTTATATATTATAAAAACCCACACTCCAATTTTCTCCTATCTCGTGGGTGCGTTTAAAAACATACATATTTCAACATCACATCCAGACTCGGAACAACAAAGAGTTGTTGTGGATCACAAAGAGTTGTTTCGTGAGGTAGTCAAACTCGCAACATGTTGCATGGCAGCCGGATACCCAGCCACTCGTGCAGCCAAATGTCTTACATCGGTCGGTACCGGTACACTACTTTTTTTAATTCGCGTTGAGTCAGTTTGGCGGTGATGAAATAAGGGATGATGGAACTCATAAGCAACTTATTAACTCAGGCCTTAAAGAAATACAGGATTTTACTCACAGACTCCGGCAAAAATTCTACTCCTTAGCGTTTCTAATGAAAAAACTGGAAGAGAATCGATTCTTGCGTGTGATTAGGATATCCACTATGAAGCGGTGACGTTTTGCCAATTGTCTGATGGTAGGACGGTGGAAATGACTAAAGGGAAAATCCGAAATATTCCAGACAAAAAAACTTTAAAAAATAATTAAAGAAATACTCTCGTATACTTACTATTATTACAAACTTTACAACTTCAATAAAAAAAGCGAATAGCAGAACCGTAAAAGTTTATGCTTCAAGATAAAGAAACTAAAAACCTTACTAATAGCATCAAATTCAAATTTATCGCGAACGTAAAACGAAACCTTGGAGTCTTGCTTACCCCGGGAGGCACATAAATACGAAAAATACTTCCTCCACTAACGAGGCTGGCACACACACACACATTACTTGTGTATGTACACATTCACACACTAGCATAACTCAATGATAGCGAAGTTAATCTCTAGAGAGAAATGGTTTCTCGTGTTCTCAGACATTTTTTGAGGAGCTGCTGTTATAAAAGTTGAAAGAGCATGTTTCTAATAGGAAGAATACCATGTCCAAATACATGTTTCAATAAAAGTAATTTCAGGTTAGTTGAAATATTTTTCGCCTTTTATGTTTTGATATCATTTCATCAGCGTTATCACCCTAGAGGGTAAGGCCCCCGCTTCTCATGCATGAGAGACAGACTCGAAACCTAGCAAGTCCCAATGTGACTTTTTCCGAGTTATATGTTCTTCCTAAGTGCATGTGCATATAGACACCACTGACATACGGCGAAGGAATACATCGTGAATAAACCTTGACTTATAATTTCTTATCATACGTTTCTAATCGCTAATCCAATTTGAGCAAACGTGGTGACTAATGCTTAACATTAGTCTGTGAATATTGTATAGGTTAGTTAAGATGAAAGAGTAAGAAAAAAATAAACCATTTTTACCTTAACGCAAAAAATCTTAAGGTTGCGAAGTATCTCAATGGATTAACACCCCAGCATTACCGAAGAGGGCCACTAGCCATTAGGTGTTTAAAAATAGAGTCTAAAAAACTTAGGGTCTAATTCAACCTTCCTATAAGTACGCGATAAAGTTAAGTGACACATATTTAGGGCACGTGGACATTGTAAAACAGATATTTAACTTAATTGATCCTACACAGGACCCGGGTCTTTTATAAACCTACTCCGCTAACCACACAGTGCAACGCTTACGGAACATCCTCTCAGCAATTGTTTTGTTTTTTTGAAACACTGCCCACACTAGGATTTTCTCCTGTGTCGTAGGTGCGGTTTCAAACATACAACGACACAAGACACCTAGTACCGAAACAACAATTTTGTGGATCACAAAATGTGCTGTTCCGTACGGAAAACGACCCCACGACACGTTGCACAGCAACCAGTTGCCCAGCCAAACGTACAGTCAAAAGTAAATTAGCGCATAATTTCTAGTTCCTTTAAAACAAACTGCTAAACTGATTCAAAACTTCACCTGCAGTATGATGTCCAGGTCGATGTTATCGCAGACCTCGTACTCCCCAGTGAGGGCGGCCTCCGAGACGAAGGTGTCTGCCGTGTGGAAGTAGCCCTCCTGCTTTAGGTAAGCATGCACCAAGCACTTCAGGATACGCTTCCGAGCACGGAATAATGCTTCTTTCTGGAAAGAGAGATTTTTAATATAAAATGGCAAAATTATATATCTCACAAACAACCGGTATGTTGTGTTTCGCCGTGTGAATGACGTTACCGGAGGCCCAATCCTTCCCGTCTCCCCATCCTTCCCCGATCCCTAAATCTCCAAGTCTATAACCAAAAGGCTTTCAATGCTCTCGTTACTCCTTTGGTGTTAACGGTGTCCATGAGTGGCACTGATTGCTTACCATCAGGTAATTCGTCTATTTATTTGCAGCACTAACACATAAAAACTCCTTGGCCTTGACAACACTGGTATTTACAGCCACTCTTAACCAAAACGCGGTAGTCAGCATAATTTATGAACCGTACTTATAACATTATTTATGTATAACGCAAAGAACATTCAAAGTTTCCCAATATGGCGATCGAAGGAATAACAAATAAGGTTAGAGATTGCATTAGCCTAACTTTCGGGGTGATCCTATTATCTTGCCGCTTTGTTCTACGACAAAATCTTTTAAAGATACTTGTTTTACCGACAGAGAGAGAGAGAGAGAGAAAGAGAGAGGGAGAGAGAGAGAGAGAGAAATATCAAGAGTTTGAGAGATAGAGACACTTCTGGTAATTCTAACGAACTACATTTTTTGGGACATAGGTTGGCAAACGAGCACGAGGCACGAGGATTACCTGGTGGTAAGCAGTCAGCGCCATCTATGGACATTTGCAATTGTGTGACGTCACACGAGATACAAGTTCGATTATCCCACATTATAAAAGTTGTGTTATGAGTCTTATGTAATAATATTATGGATCCTGTCACAAATACCTCTTTATCTCTTTATAGATCAGCAACAGCAGACGATTCACCTGATGGTAAGCAATCAGAGCCGGCCATGGACACCCGCAACATTGAAGGTGCATTATTGGCCTTTAGGAGTTTGAAATTTGTAGATTGGAGATTAGAAGAGGAGGAGAGAGGATCTCAATAGTGTCCGGTAGCAATACTTGCACAGCAAAACACAACATAAGCGTTTTTTATGCTGGTTTTCAGCAGCACCGTGTTAAGACATTCGCACGGAAACATGGCTTTCCCACACTTCAATTTACTTAAGCAAGCAGTATTGCTATCTCAACCTCCTCCATTGAAAAGAGGGAGATGCCCTACATCCCATTAGTGCATGTCACAGCGACCTACATAGTAAAAATTGGGCGCTCGACTTGGCACAAGGATCAAGCATTACTTTTCCATACTCTAGGTCACGCTTTCTATTGCAGATTCGGAACAAATTGCGTATTATATATTATACAATTAATTTCCGACACTAATCTACATTTATTTTAGGTTTTCTGAGTTAAGTTCCTGTGTCAAAGGACCTCTAGATGTAAAAAATCGAATTATGTTTTACTGTTTAATTATTGCTAAAGGAATATGACTTTATTTAATTAAACTCTTAGCAAACCCGTTCACGCATCTATTGTGTCTTATAATTGTGTCGCGGTTTACGACAATTTAGAGGTTAACCCAAGTATTGTTACACATCAGTATTACTCCAGTCAATTTGGAGCAATTAAACACGAGTAGAAATACACATATTATTATGATATTAAATAATAGTACTTAAATAGTTTATATAATTACTTTTGAAAAATTATGTTATGATTTCCATGTAACAAACCGGTTCGCATACCTCAGGGCATATCTACATAATTCAATTACAAGAGATCCCCTAAGAATCTTTAAGAGCCCTCAAGTCAGTTAGAAATCCTCAAGGAAAAGCTGGAACAACGAACAATTAAAAGTTCCACTGATAAGCGTAAATTGGTAATATCGCCAAACTTCGATACATGTCATACCTCACCGACTGACGCGAAATTGTGACGATTAAATCAAACAGCGATTTGCTCACTGATTACCCCGAGTTACTATAGCTATGATAATGATATCAAGGTACACTTACCACAGCCAAGAAATTAACAAATGAAAATTAATAATAAATAAACGAACGAACAAACTCACGGTTTCAAACTTTCTCATTTGACTCATGGGCCTTGTAACTCCAGCCATTTTCTCTCCCTTTATCAAATAAATATATTTTTACAGTCACTTAATAGTAATTGCAAAACTCAATGGCATTTCATTGAAATATTTCAAACGGTTGCTATGGGCGTCCCGTTGCTAGGCAACCGACAATAAACAACCCTTGGAGGTCAATGGTTGATGTGATTGTTCGATTTAATATTTCACTTGTAAATTAGTGTTAAGATTATTTTATAATTAGTTAGGTGTTTAAAGATTTAAGCTCGATAGTAGTTAAATAATTTGTTTGTACTAAAAAACTAAAAATTTTATATTGTAAAAGTAAATAAATATACAAATGTGTGATTAAACTAAACGCGTACACATGTTGTTTAATGTCGAGCAAATTGGATATTTACTGACTTTAGCTGTTTTCCTAATTTGACTCTCATTATAAATCCAGTTAATTTAATTATTTATTTTGTTTTCGCCTATTCAATCGTCGAAATATCGCATCTCATGCACAGCGGAGCAAAATCAAGTACTTTCATACTTATATGATTTTCGAAATATTTTTTTACTGACATGGTCAATAGACTTTTCACCAAAAACAAAGCGTAATATAATTTAAAAATGTTAACGTACGTCCATTTTTATTTCACAGTACATAAAGTATTTCTAATCATTACTTTAAAATCACTATTATAGTCTTGAGCGAGCGTGGTGATTAATACTCAAACATTATCCGTGTGCGAAGAAGCCTTTGCTCAGCAGTGGGCACTTATAGGCTGATGATGATGATGACATGACTGAAATTAATTAAAAAAGAAGGAGCTGCTTCGACCATAAACATAGACCCAGTTTCCAGACACCTGTAACAACACTGAAGCCAAAAGAACCTTAAGAAAACACAGTGAAAATTTGAAACGGTAGGCTGAAAAAGCTTCGTCGAAAAAAGCTGAAAGCTGTCGTCAAAAAGCTTGTGAAAGCGAGTCATCCCTTTGAAGAGCTTTCATTAAAATAAGGCTTCGCTTACAGCCCTGTAAGACTGTAATTAAAGCCGTCATGAAAAAACATTTGAAAATCGAGACTTGGATTCTTCAGTGACATGTTTCATGACTCGTTTCTGTAATTAGAATGTTCTTTTCAGTTGAAATAGAAAATGTTTTTATGTTTTCAAATACCGCATGAATGCAAAGTCGCGGGTTCAGTTGCTGCGTCAAAGTGAAATTACCTATTCAAATGGAGAAGAGTACTTTTAAATGTCAGAAGACATGTTTGCATGTATGCTGTGTATATAGAAGTAAGAATAGGACAGCCATGCTTAGACAGAAATGGGTCGGCTCGACAGGAGTGATACCACGGTCTCGCAGATAACCGACGTAAACGCAAGCTTTGTTTGTGAGTGAGGTTACCAGAGGCCAAATGCTTAACCTCCTCAGTCCATCCCCTATCCACACAAATTCAAACCGTAAGGTCCAAATGGCCGTCATCTAGCTTGTAACTCTTCTTGGGTAGCAAGTGTCCCTGGGTAGCGACGATTGCTTACCATCAAGTAATTGTTTGGCGACCTATTACATAAAAATAACACGCAGAGTATGTTAGTATTTTGTATTTTTTATGTGATAAGACGAGCAGACCGATTTCCTAATCGTAAGCACCGCCTATAGATATCCGCAACGCTAGATAAGTTACGAGTGCATTGCCGGCCTTTAGGGGATTAGGATTTCAGTAATTTAGAGATTACGGAGGTAAGAGAGGAGGTCGATGGATTACCTCACTCTCACTGCGAAACATGCCGCTGTGGTTGTTTCAAACCGGTTTTCTGTGCGGCCGTGGTATCACTTCGGTCGAGCCGACACATCCGTGCCGAAACTTGGCTCTCCCACACTATGAACTTTTTGGTAGTGGCATAGATTTATCATCATGATAACAGCCAAAGTCGTTCAGTACGATTGAAAGCAATCTGCAACCAGCGGAGCGTGGATTGAACAAGTTTGACTGCATGGTTGGCTGGGCAACTGGATGCCGCACAACATGTCGCGTGTTCGATGCCCACACGCAACAACTATTTATTGTGTGATGAATATGTGTATGTGAAATTTTACACTTCTACTAGCTACTTTCGCGCGGTTTCACCCGGTGCTCGGCTCCATTTAATCGTAGCTTGATGTTTTATAGCCTATAGCACTCAGGAACAGTCTAACTATCTGTCAGTGAAAGAATTTTGGCAATCCGACCAGCGGTTCCAAAGATAGCGGTCTACAAGCCTAAGCCTAGCGGTTACAAACTTTATTGATTTAAAACCATAAAATTTGCACACAGGACTCGATGGAAGCGAAAATGTTAGTGCATATTTAAAAAAAAAGGAAATGAGTTATGTTGCAAGTCTCCTCTCTCTCTCTTTCTCTCTCTCTCTCTCTCTCTCTCTCTCTCTCTCTCTGTCAGCTTACTATGCTACTAATATTATAAATGTGAAAGAATGTGAGAATGTATGAATGTGTGTTTGTTATTCATTCACGCAACAACTGCCAGACCGATTTTGTTAAAATTTGTCCCATAAATAGGGATACATACCACGTGTGGAAGCAAGTCAACGACAAAAAACTCAACGGTCACGTTGAATATAAAAATAAAAATTTCAGGTACTTATAATATGTAGAAGATAAACAAATTTGTCAGCAATGGAAGTGTTAATCTAGACTATACATAAATTGCACGAGTTTGGAAACTGGCCACGTAATTGTATCGACTCCTGAAGTCTATTGCATTTAAATCGCTTTTAAACATACTGTATTCGGGTCAAACCTGCATCAAAGCGTTGGCAAAGTATAAATATTACAAAAATAATGCTTTAAACAACACATTTATAGTCGAATATTCAAAAACTCAAAATTAAGCAAATTAAAGCGCAAGTGACTTGAATATCGTAGCCGTAGTTCGTAGCGGTAATTGTAGCGGATCTGCCGTAGTCACTTGACGTTCTCGTAGCGGGTCTACGTATGCTACGGCTTGTAGTTATCTTCGCTACGCGCTACGTTTATGTTCAAAAGGTTGCCTGAAAATGACAATACAATTAATTGTAATTCGAAATAAAATTACAGGAGTGTAAGAGAGTGAGGAAAGTGTAGAAGAGTGAAGTTTCGACACGAATATGTAGGTCGGCTTAACCAGATCCACGAGGTCTTACAGAAAAACGACGTGATACAGCCACAGCGTTGTGTTTCGTCCAAGTTGAGGCCCAATCCTTCCCCTTCCCCATCCCTTGATCTCCAAAACCCTAATCCCCAAAAGGCCGGTAATGTACTCATAACTTCTTTCGTGTTGCGGGTGTCCATGGGCGGCGCCGATTCCTTGCCATCAGGTAATCCGACTATTCGTTTCCGAAATAACATGCAAAAAAAATCAATTAAAAAATGTTTAGGTTTAATGTAAATATTAAATTTTTTACACTCTTTATTGGTTAATATCACGGGCTATTTCCTATTCTTAACTGTAGCGGAAGAAAATAGGTTGTTTTGAAACTCCCTTTTTGCCCTTTTGGAAGAAGCCATTTGATGATCTAATCCATTCAAAAAAAAATTAATATCTACAATGAGTGTGAATCTCATTGTTAAAGTTTACTATATCGCTAGTACTTGTAAGGTGATGAGCAGAGTGACAGGGCACTCCAAGATGAACGTGAGTTTCACACTTCGTTGTATGTTTCCAATGTATTATTGTCGAGTTCGGGAAATAAAGTTCAAAGAATATAAAATGACATAATCTTATCATAAAATTGGATGGGATTACTTGACAAGCGCAGTAAAGAATCTGACTCTCTCCCCCTACCCTGAGCAACAGAAGTCATTCTATAATTTTCACCCTCAAAAAAACTTAATTTTATAATCCAAACTAATATAACTCTAAAGTAACTCTGACTGTCTGTCTGTCTTTTCTTCACGCCTAAACTACTGAACCTATTTGTGTGAACATAGTTTGAAACTCGAGAAAGGACATAGGATAGTTTTTAAACCAAAAATCAGCAGAAACTCACTATTCCCTGCGAACAAAGTCGTGGGCAAAACCTTGTAATATATATGTTCTACACAATTATTATAAATAGTATTACTGTGTATATTTCTGTATATGCATGTTTATAATATACAAACTGGAAAACTATCGAGCTGGTTTAAAATTTCTTCATCCATTGGTAGGTTTTATTCAGATTGAGTAACGCATGCTATATTTATTGCCAGAAATGTAAATAAAATCAGTCTACCCGTGCGAAACCAGGAGTCAGACGTCGAAGGCAGATCGGCCGCTAGTTGTAAATAAATACATACTATATAATTATGATCCCGACAGATGTAAATATTGTGGCGAACCTTCGTTTTAAAAAGTGTTCGAAATTTAAGATGAATATGCAGATAAAAAATAAAACATATTATTACTAGTATTTTTCTTTTCATTATTGTGCCAGGTACATACGAGATAGAAGATTATTTCTAACTAATTTATTTCTAGGGCCAAATTCCCATTACATTTATATAAGATATGCTCATGAAAAATAACAGAATACTACATAGGAATAAATGATTTTGTATGAATGCTACGATAAACATATATACAAGAACCAATGACTTACAGGCAAGTTTTAATTTTAATTCTCACGTATAGTTACTTAATATCAGACTAAAAGACGCAAGAGAGAATCAGAGAGAAGTTTCTCATAAGATAAAATCTACTATGAAAGTATGAAAAGGGAAAAGTTACGCTGACTGCCGATTACAAGTATCATTGTAATAATGTGCAAGAAAAAATAAGAAGTTACAGAAAACATGATCGTGAATGTGTAAGAACTTTGTTGTCGTATGCCGTGCGTGTATGGGAGCGGTGCAGGCGTGTACTCGTCACGGAGCGCAGTGCCGCATTCGGGGGCGCGGGGCGGGCGCGGGGCGGGCGTGCTGCGGCCGCGTGCGGCGACCGTGCGGCGCGCCCGGGGCTGCCAGACTCAACAAAACGTACAAATTGTACTATTTTAAGTAGAACATTTACATTGTTTTTTCGATAAATCGGCAAACGAGCAGACGGATTACACCTGAAACACCAAAGAAGTAATGAGTGCGTTGCAAGCATTTTTAGGAGTAAGGTTTTTGGGTATTTAAAGATTGGGGAGAGGGAGAGAGGGCCACCAGCAACCTTGCTTACACGCCGAAATACAATGGTGGTGGTTGTTTCACGCCGGTTTTCTATGAAGTCGTAGTATCACTTTGGTCGAGCTGACCCATTCGTCCTGAAGCTTGACTCTCCCACAGTTGTTAGGCATAAATATCTCGCCATATTGTTCTGAAGCTTTGATAGCTTCTTCTGCTTTTTGTTGACCTGACATCGGTATCGCGAATTTAGTGTTAATTTTCTAATAATCTAATGAAATGTTCTTCTGGTACACTATTTATAATTAAGCGAATAAAGAAATCTAGACTAGACTCGGTACTTCAACCTCCAAAAGCTTCATAACATTTGGTCGATCTTTCCCCGTATAATATTGAAAGGTAATAACAAACAACAGACCATGTGATACCGATTTCTGTGTAATATAGCATTCAACTCTTTAGTACAATATCATGGGGGTAAATAATTTAAATTTAAATTCTTTATTAGCATTCGATCTGTTAATACACAGGTGGTACATTTTAGGGATTAGTCTCAATATGGACCCAGTAAGGCACAGCTTAAAGAAAGTATGCCTACTGCTTAATTTATAAATCATTATAAATGTGATTTGCAATTTAAGATTATTGTAGTTAATTTCGTAGTGAATGCTGGCAACATCCCGGCATGTCTCCGGCAGTCATGCCCCGAGCCCCGCCGGCTACGGCCGCGTTGGCGGCCGCCACGCTCGCGGTACTCGCCGCGCTCGTCGGTGAGTTCAAATTCAAATTTTAAATTTACGATTCCACTGTCATTCCATATCAACGTCCTTTTTAAATGTTAAATCGTTTTTTATTCTCTATTGCCAGTGTTTATTATTGTGATCGGTTTTAATAAAGCAGGTTTTAAAGGAAGACAGGTTGTTTATGTTTTCGATGGAATTATAAATTAAAAATATTTAGTTTTCATTTATCAATTTAGGTAACACGGAGTAAACGTATGTATGTATTTTCATATTAAAACACTAATATAATTAGTTTATTTTGTGATGTTTTTTTAGTATAATGGTGTTTCTGAAATACACATAAAATACGTATAATTTAACAAACAAAAGATAACGTTTCCCGTTTTATGCTCGTAGTTGGATGTTATGCGGTACATTTTATGTTCGCCAGTACCGGCAATACTCCAACAGACAATAAACCCAACCTTTTGCTCTACTTATCATAACGACCTCTATAAAGGATGCTAAAAATTTGAATTTCCCAAAATAGACATGTTAGTAAAAATACGTATAAAATTACGATAAGAAAAAAAGATTTTTTCCAGGCATTATTTTTTTCAACCCTTTTGTTTAATTAAATAATAATTACACATTAAGTGTAATGCTATAATACTAATGGGCAATTGTTGTTTAATTAGTATTTAGCGTAAGTTAAAACATAACATTAATTTAATAATCAACGAACCACAATTGGATGTATCCGCATAATAAATGCTGCATACACATTTCATAAATTGAATTCGAGAACGAACTTTAACAATGCAATTTGATTCAACCAACAGTTGAGAACAACATTAAAAAGTAAACTTCATTTGAATATGGAACACTATGGAATTTGAAAGGAGGTTTGTTACTATTTGTTTTTTTTCTTTTAAAGCATAATTTTTAATTGAAATGGTATCGTAACAATTAAAATACTTACTTTAAAAATATTTTAAAAGTGGAAATTGAAATAAAAAATTTAAAACGTAATGGGAAAGCTTAAATATAGGTTCACAAACTTCGTTTCAGTTTTGTGTTTGGTTTTAAAAAACTAAAAAAAAACCTTTAGCTACGAACACAGTTAAAATTCCTTTGTATTATAATTATGATGTAAAATCATAATTTTACTAAAATCCAGTAAATTTTTTGAGAGCAACATCCATTTATCCTCGGAGCCTCTCTCGTTTTTCGAAGGATTACATTCAAGAGCTATGGACGTAAATTACGAAGTCTGCTTGTAAACAAAGTGGCCGGAATTAAGCAAAAGACTTGTCTTAACTGTTTACCTGAAGTTGTAGTCTTTCGTAATTGAAAGCCCTCTTCGGAACTTAATGAATAAACTGAAAACGTTGGTGCTGGTCGGGCTGTTGTAAAAAAATCGTGTGTGATTTTTCAGTTCAATCCTTTTGGATCGGATTGAAGACGAATTCGAAAGAATATTTTTTACATAGGTTCACTAAGTATAGGTACGAGTATTACGAAAAAAAAATATTTGAAGAGGGCTTATGAACTTGATATAGCGAAAAATTTAATAATTTTGACTTCACAATAAAATGTAAAAATCACACTTCCGTTCTTTGATTTTACAATATACCTGTCTAAGCGATGTGGTTGTTACCAATTTAAAAAAAAAAAAGTTGATATCATATTTGAAGCAATGAACATGACGTCACAATACACAACCCACGGAATAGAAAATACAGACACAACCCCATAAATAAACCAAATTCATAAAAAAACAATTTTGGCATTTTGTACTGTTTTTGACTAAATTTAAAATAAATACAGGATTGATTTGTGTCTTGTTTAGTGTGTAGCAATACTATAGTAATGAGTAACTTTGTTAAATTGTTAAGCATGCAATGGATTTAGATATTTGAAGGTTTTTAATATCTAATAATACAAAATGTGTTATTGTTTGACTTAGGCGAATGCTTAGTCGTTTCATTTTTGTGTAACCAGCTTTTCCTAGAGTAGGGGTTTTGAAGTGAGGGCAAAATCATCAAATGACTTCTCCCGCCCAGGGTCAGAGGAAAGATAGTGTCAGACCCTTACTGATTAAAAGACCCCCCATTCCTTCTCCTACTCTGGGACGACGTCGCGGAGCCTCATTGCGCTTACCCCGCAACCCCGGCTGAACATCAGCTCTATAGGGCCCCGTCTATGGTGGTCTATTGGCTCTTTGAGGCGCGAGGAATCCTGTAGCAGGGATACAACCGCAATAATGTACCATGGGTCCAGCCCTTCAGGAGAAACTATGGTGTGGTTTTTAGTCAGTAAGAGTCTGACACTCCTTCTCGCTTCACCTTAAGCAGGAGAAGTAATTAAATGGCCTCTAGAAAAAAGCTAGCTTATCCTACTACCTACGTGTCACGGATTCGTTTTTCGTGTAGTACAAATATTTGTGACAAAAGCAAATACTTGTTTTGCGTTACATTGTTTTTTGTATCCAAAGTTTGTATTTGTTAACGTTTTCTTAGTACAGAAATAACAGTCAGAGAAATAATCCTATTTTTACAACAAGACAGATTTAGGAGAAAATTGTAAATACGATTGTGATACGAAATATCTGGTTTTACTATTTTATCGTGAGTTTTTGACGTAGGAGGTACACAAAGTAAATAATCTATAAACGTATTACACAGAAAAGAAAGTCATGTTAGTTACTCTGCTTATAACTCAAGAACGGCTGAACAGATTGCCTTGAAAATTGGTGGGGATGTAGTTTAGAACCAGAAGAACAACATAGTACTTATAGGGTTGCATAAGTAGGGTATGTAGGTAACTAAGTAGGGTAGTGTAGGTAGTCAAATGACGGGATCGAAGCCCGAGTAAAAGCTAGTTAATTAAAGAAAAAACTATTTCAAAAACTTTTGTTTACGTAACAGTTTCGAGTAGGTATGCAAATAGTGCAAATTACATAAAATCTCGTACTAAATAAATGTCCAATAGTCAAAGTAGTTAATTTCCTATTGTAAATATAAAAACACGAAAAATGCGGTTGTGTTTTGACTACGGTAGCTTACCGTTATGTTTTTTTTCTACGGCGGGGAAAATCGTCATTCCCTTTTTCTCAAACTGAGAGGGAGAGAGAAAGAGTATCAGACTGTTACTGGCTAAAAACTATTTCGTTCCTTCTCTAGATCCGAGCCTGTCACATGAACCATACATTTAGTTGCTACTTAACCTAACTAAAATTATAAATTCGAAAGTAACTCTGTCTCTGTCTGTCCTTTCTTCGCGCCTAAACTACTGAACCGATTTCTGTGAAATTTGGTAGGTACAGACATAGTTTGCAACTCGAGAAAGGACATAGGATAGTTTATATATATACCAAAAATCTTCAGGAAGTCACTATTCCACCCGAACGCTAGTAGTATCACGGAAAGCTAGTCATTGTATAAATAAGTATAGGTACTACCCTAGATCTGTCAAATGACAATGAAAGACAAATTAAGTGTTTCTTCAGTTTTTTCTCGTCTGGGGAGTAGGATATAGGTCAGAGGGCTTACAGCCAAGCTAGCAATATTTATTCGTTCTAAGTTCTCTTTGTATATCTTTTACAGTATCGTTAATTGTTTAGTTTCCTTAGGGCTGATTTTTCAATGGTCAGATAAAAGTTGCCTGGGGAATAATTATGATACTGTCGCGTCAGAATGTTTGTATAAGACAGTAATAGCAACAATTTTATTCCTTAGTAAACATTTATCTGACTATTGAAAAATCAGCCTAAGTCTATTATACCAGTTTATTTGTAAACGCGTCTTTGCATATTATTATGTTCAATTTAATATTCTGTTTACATTTAGTAACATTTCGTTCTATATGAAATGCAAATTGAGTACAAAAATACAAGAATACAATGCATATTAAAAAGGTAATTTCTATTTTGGTACTTTTTGATTATCAATAATGTTTGATATATATGTTTATGTGTATAAAAGGCACGATTCATTTACGACTAGCTTTTGCCCGCGGCTTCGCCCGCGTGGTATGTTGATAAAAAGTAGCCTAATGCTATTTCGGAATATATCCTACGCCTGTGCCGAATTTCATCCAGATCCATCCAGCTGTTTTGGCGTAATTGAGTAACAAATATCCAAACATCCAAGCATCATCATATCATATTAGAAAAATATATTTCGTCATAGTAGAAAAATACAAAAAAAAAGAGTAAACTATCCTTTGACGTTTGCCTTGAATGCGTACATAGACCACTCCAATTGCCCTTAGAGCTCGATTTTCAGTTGTTCATCCAACACTGCCAGTCACCTTGCATAACTCCACCTAGCTCAGAGCTCACGTACCGCAGTCTCGGACTCTTTAGCAGGAGAAGGAACGGGATGGTTTTTAGTTAGCAAGAGTCTTACACTCCCTCTCATCTCAACCTAAGCGAGAGAGGTCATTTGAATATCACCTCACAAAAAAAAACCTTGCTGAAGGGCGTCCTACACCACGTTTTCCTAGACGCA